TCCATCCCCTTCCCCTCCGATGCATCGACTCGCGTTGCAAACTTTCCTACGAACAAGCTCTAAATTCCTTTCGCGTGGAGGGTAGCCAAGGAGGCGTTGTCCGATGGGAGAAATAGCAGTCCACCATTATTCAGCACGGCGCGCATTAGTGGGAAACGAATTCCTCCTCCTCCTCCTCCTCCTCCCCTCCCTCATCCTCCTCCTCCTCCTTCTCCTACTCCTCCTTTCTTACCCCTTCTCATCCTCCTCTTCCTCCACCTCCTCCTCCCACTCCTCCACCTTCTCCTTTTCCTCCTCTTCCAGTTTTCCCCTCCTCCTCCGACGCATCGGTTCTTATTGCAAACCTGCCTACGAACAAACTCGACACTGCTTTCGCGTGGGGGGTAGCCGGAGAAGGCATTGCCCGACAAGGGAACGAACCGTCCATCATGATTCGGCGAGGCGCACGTTAGTGTGAAACAAATTCCTCCTCCTCCTCCTCCTCCTCCTCCTCCTCCTCCTCCTCCCCCTACTCCTCCACCCTATCCTTGTCCTCCTCTTTCTCCTTCCCCTCCCCCTCCGATACATCGGCTCGCGTTACAAACCTTCCTAAGAACAAGCTCTAAACTCCTTTCGCGTGGAGGGTAGCCAAGGAGGCATTGTCCGATGGGGGAAATAGCAGTCCACCCTTATTCAGCACGGCGCGCATTAGTGGGAAACGAATTCCTCCTCTTCCTCCTCCTCCTCCTCCTCCTCCTCCTCCTCCTCCTCCTCCTCCTCCTCCCCCCTCCTCATCCTCCTCCTCCTTCTCCCCCTCCTTTACTTACCCCATCCTCATCCTCCTCTTCCTCCGCCTCCTCCTCCCGCTCCTACACCTTCTCCGGTTCCTCCTCTTCCAGTGTTCCCCTCCTCCTCCGATGCATCGGTTCTTATTGCAAACCTGTCTACGAACAAGCTCGACACTCCTTTCGCGTGGGGGGTCGCCAAAGGAGGCATTGTCCGACAAGAGAACTTACCGTCCATCATGATTCGGCACGGCGCACACTAGTGTGAAACAAATTACTCCTCCGCCTCCTCCTCCTCCTCCTGCCCCCTGCTTCTCGTCCTCCTCGGCCTCCACCTCCACCTCTTCCTTCTCCTTCTCCTCATCCTCCTCCTTTTCCGTATCCTCCTTCTCTTCCTTCTCCTTCTTTCCCCGTTTTCCTCACTCTCCTCTTCCTCCTCCTCCTTCTCTGCCTCGCCCTTCTCCTCTTCATCCCCCCTTCCTCCCTCCATCCTACGCCTCTTCCTGTTCCTCCTCCTCCTCCTCCTCCCTCCCCTCCTCCTGCCAGCGCAAGTAACGGGGGTGTCGTTAGGTCATGCCTCGCCAGGGCTTGCAAGAAAACTTTTCGACACTAGCGAGAGGAGGAACAAGAGGAGGAGGAGGAGGGAAGGAAGAGGGAGGGTCTGATTATTCACCGCCGAAGGCCCCAAATGGGGTCTCGAAGCTATAGACTTCTAGAAATTTGGGCAAGGCGAGCACGCTGGGATCAACGGACAAACTCACGATGGATAAACCTGCGGAAGAAACACAGTTTCCAATGAACCGTGAAACATGCTTAGCGTTATCCCGAACGTGTCATGGTACGATGGTAACTCCCATTTACCCCGACGGGCAAGACAGGAATTTAGCCTGCAGAAATATAATGCACAGAGCCAGACGCTACTCAGTCGCAGCCCACAGCATTAAGCTACATATGCGAATCATCACCATCATCCTCGTCATAAGCATCACCATCACGGGAAACGTTCGTCACAATCAGCACCACCCTCACCATCATCAACATTAGGAGCGAGGAAAAAAAGAAAAGGAATGTCACACAAAAGGTTTTGGCACCACCAGCGGTGCAACGCATGTGCACACATGCCACTGGATCCCTAGCGATCCGAACCATGGTTGATGCACGGCCGCGCTCTAGGATGCAGTTGACATGTATGGCGTGGCAAGGCTGTCGGCGGAGAGGAGATCCCAATATCCGCTACCAACAAACATTCCATTGTGGTTTGGCACAGCCAAACCACCGTGCAATGTCAGTTTGCTCATCCGTTGACAGCAGCACGCGTCGCGGCAACAAAACGCATTAGCGCGTGCGGGCACGCAGGGCCGGCGACGCGGCTGGCCAGCTGCCAGCGCGACTTCGGCAGAAGAGCCGCAATCCACGTAGGCTCGTTCCGGGTGTGGTATCCGGCGCAGCTACATCGCACTGCCAGGCGCCGCGGCCTTGTGATTGTAGCGGCAGGCCCCGCGCGCTCCTCGAGGCGGGAAAGCAAGCTCTACACAAAGGAATCGCGCGTGCTCTTGTGGGGGCGGCGAAAGCGATCGTACACAAAAGAAAATCCTTTGTGTGCCCCCCGCGTTGGCAGTGCAACCAGACCGCACACAAAGGAATTACACGAGACCTTGTGGCACACAAAGGAATTAAAGCAACGCCCTTTGGGTTGCGCTCTTCGCGCGCGGTGACAGCTCTGAGCTGGAAACGAAGGGGGGGGGGCGGGACAAGGCAAAGCAGGGGAAGAGGAAAAAGAAGAGGAGGGCGACAAAGAAGCGAAGGAAGCAACGGAAGGAAGCCAGGATGTGCGCAAGCGAAGCTAACACTGCGCGCCGAGACAGTTGTTCGTTCGTTCGGTTAGCCGTGCGGCAGATGAATAGAAAAATCAGCGTTTGCTGCCTATGCAAGAGACTTCTTGGGAATGAGACTCGCGCTCTCTTTCCAACCCCCTTTTCCCACACCCCGTTGCGAGCGCGCGACGATTTGTTCTGGCCCGCGGGCAGCAGACTGCCAATTGCTGGCGAGCGGCCTTTCCACCCGTCACGCGTTCCGAACACATGCGACCAGCTAAACGCACTTGCCGCGCAAAGCGCCAGCTCCAAACACCGACGCCACCCCGATCCCCGCATCCGTGCCAGGCACCCTCTCAACGACGCCCCCTTCCGGCGTAAAACCCATAAAACCCTTCGTGGTTATGTGTTTTCCCTGTTCTGAAACATGCTCATCGTCATCAGCATCATCAGCATCATCAGCATCATCAGCATCATCATCATCATCATCATCATCATCATCATCATCATCATGATCATCATGATCATCATGATCATCATCATCATCAGCATCAGCATCATCATCATCATCATCATCATCATCAGCAGCAGCAGCAGCAGCATCATCGTCATCCCTCATATTTCGCCGCCCTCCTCGTCTCTCCCTCCCACATTCAGCAGCGAATTCTTTCACAACTCCACTTCTCTAGGGAGTCTGGACACTGATCTTCCGCCCCTAGCAGCCAGTGGGCCCTCTGGACTGCAACGATAGGCTATCCCGACCTCGGATTCCTCCCCCCTCCTCCACCGTCCTCATCCTCCCTCCTTCTCCTCCCTCCTCCCTCGTTTTCTTTTTCCTCCTTTGCCTCCCCTTCCTCCTCCATCTTTTCCCCTTTCAAGATCACTCCCCCGCGTTGCACCCCTCAGACGTCTCGGTAGGCGAAGCCCAGCGTTTCGCCTAAGATTTTCTCATCAATTACGACCCCGAAGCTTGACATATGCAACATTTGCATGGATGATGGGGGCAGGGGTGGTTTTCAAAATGTGGCTCTCGCCCCAGCGCCGCCGCGCACATTCATCGTAAAAGTTTCCGACTGCTTCGCGGATGGAGGGCAAGCCTTTTTCAGAAGGTGGGTCTCGCCGTAGCGCCGCGCATAATCGTATAGCAAGTGTGCAACAATTTCACGGGTGGACAACATGTCCTTTTCAACATGTGACTCTCGCCGTAAAACCGCGCGCACTCGTCCTAAAAAATTGCAGCCGCTTCACGGAAAGAAGGCGGTTCCTGTCCAACATGTGCCTCTCGCCCTACCGCCACGCACATTCGTCCTAAACGAGTGCGGCACATTAAATGACTCGTATAGTTGAACTTGCAGGAGCGGTGTTCTGCCACGAGTAAGATTGTCGGGACGCAACGGTCACACTGATTACCGGTGGTGGAATTCCAGGAATGAAATCCCGGCGCGGTTCAGGTTTGTCAGGATGCAGCAATCGCGTTCAACCGCAGCGTTGAATTCCCACGAACGGTATGTTGGCGCGGCTGGGGGTTCTGAGGCGGTTGTTGTCTAATGGGCCACTTCCTGCAAGGAACAACTGATTGTATGTAAGAACCTGTGGGGAAGAAGCTTGAAGAAAATGTTGAGAGGCCTTGATTTTACAGTGGCCGTCGTCGTCGCCGTCGTCCTCCTCCACCACCTCCTCCCCAGAAAAAGTTCAAAATCCCCGAAGGTCGCCTGAGGTCCCCAGATGCCCATTGGGGCTTTGCAGAAGCCCCTGCCCCCATAACAAAAGCATCCCAATACCAAATATTCTATATGTTCCTTCTCTTACTCCTACTCGTCCGCGTCGTCGTCGACCTCCTCCTTTTACTTTTCCTCCTTCCCCTTCTCCTCCACCTCCTCCTCCTCCGGAACATCCTCCTCCTCCAATGACGACGGCGGCTGGGCTCTTTGTGCCCGACGCACCGCCGCGGCAAAAATGTATACATGCTCGACCTCCCCCCCTCCCCCTTTGCCTCCCTGCCTTATTAACTCCTCCCTCCGCCTCCCTCCTCCTCGTCCTCCTCCTCGTCGTCGTCCTTCTCCTCCTCCGTGTGCCCCAGGGCCCTCGGGACCGAAAAGGGCCCAGAAGCGAGCGGACCGCGCGCGGCCGAGCGCTTCTCCCGCGCGCCCCGCGCCGCTCAGCTTCCTCTACCACCCCCCGCCACCGTTCCTCCTCCTCCTCTGGCCCGTCCGCGCTGGCGCCAGCGCCCCTCTTCAGGCCACTTGGCCTCCTCCTGCTCGCGGTTCACTGTCTTCGTCGTCGTCGTCGCCCTCTCCCTTCTCCACCTCCACCTTCCCCTCCCCCTCCCCGTCATCCTCCCCCTCCTCCTCTTCCTCCTCCTCCTCCTCCTCCTTTTCCCTGTTCCTTTTGTCCCCTATCTTGCGCCCGCCGCTGGCCGTGCCTGGTTCGGGTCCTCCTCGGTCTCGGGGTGGCCCTCTGCTGGAGCCTTGGTGCGGTCGAGTGGAGGAGGGACTGGGGGCACCGGGATCATCCGTTCTCTAGGTCACCTCACTCGCGCATCGTGCCCGGTTAGATGCGCGACGCGCAGCTGTCTTCGCGCCCCCGCGCCCGCGCGCCGCCCCCCCCAAGGGAATGGCAAATGTTTTGTGCCAACGAATCGAGGTTCCGAGATTCAGGGCGAATCGATTCGCACATCGACGGAATCACCTTGAGCATGAAGCTTCAGTGCCCTGACTAGAGTCTCGCTTTTGCTGTATGGCGGGGGGGGAGGGAAAAACAACGATGGCTGAAGCCAGAGCCCACAGGAGGCTTCTCAGACCAGCTGTCTAAACTCATCCCTCGTCGCTCATAGCTCAACCCTTCTCCACAATCCCTCCTCCCCTCCCCCTCCCCAGGGACGGAGGAGAAGGAGGAAAAGGCGGTTAATTCAGTTATCAAGCCCTTCGAAACCGTTTGTGGGGCAGTGGGGGAGAACGACGCTTCTCACCCAGGCTGGGGCTTTAAAGCAATTGCTTTACCCCATGTCGTCTATTCGCCTAGTAGGCAACCATGCTGCTGCTACGCTGCACATGCACATTCTAAGCTCAAACATGGGAGAAGCGGTAGGGAGCGACCGACGCGGCGACGACAGCGGCCTCAGGGGACCACGAGGCGAGGAGAGAGGGATGGGGGCACGCGCAGAAGCAACAGGCTGAACAACTCAGCCAGTCGGGTCCAGCACGGGCAGCGGCCAGGGGGCGCACACCTACGTCTTGCCACTGCCCCTGACTCCTCCAAGCTACCTGATCATGTTGCCGGGGGGAAGCGATACAATCCCACGAGCCCTTTGGGCTGATGAGGTCTAGCGAGTTCTCCTTTTCCTCTTCCATAACCATAACCCTCCTTGCCTTCGGTGAGTGCCCTCCCCCTCCTCTCCCTGAGATGTTTGAGGCAGGCAGCGATCGACCAAGGCGCCCAAGATGACGCAAAATAAGAAAAATGGTTCAAGATAGCTCCCGACACACCTCCAAGAGGCCCGATGAGGGCCACAAAACGGCTCCCCGTGCTCTGCCCCCCCCGATCCCCCCGCCCCCCCACACGACACCGTCAAGAGGCCCAACTCCTCCAACAACAGATGGAAATCAATTGTCGCTTACATTTTCGCTTCAAATGCGAGTCTTGGGCCGCAGGGTGGCCGCAAAATGGCCCAATTGAGCTCCGAGAGGAGCCCCCCAAACGGCCCAAATAACGCTCTAGATCGGCCCCAACACGCCCCAACACACCCGGGGGGGTGGGGCGCGTGAATTTAGGACCCTCCCTCCGTTGATCGATTGCGTTCAAGATGGCCCACGGCTCCCACAGGGGCCCCCAGGCGGTCCCAAGAGCGTTCCACAAGGGCTCGAAGATGCGTAAGACACCCAGATGAATGCGCAAACAAGTGCTCGAGATACTGGGCTGCGGCGCCGAGGCCTCCTAGGCGAGCGTCGCGCTTCAATCTCTGAAAAAACGCGTTTCGTGGGCGTTCGTTGATAAGCGAGTCTGGGCGCTTGGGAACAAAGACCCCCGCCCCCCCTAAACATTGGGAGCGCCCGGGGAACTGCCTCCCCCGCCCCTGGGCACTGGCCTCTCTTGCCGAAATGGGGCTCGATCCGGCTCTAATCGAGCTTACTATAATTTACCGGATCAAGTTGTACGAGCATTCTAGTTGGTCACGGTCCAACTCCACTTGAAACCTACACTAGCTAGATCCGGCTCTCATTGGACCCTGCCAAGACTTTGCCCAGCTGCAATTGGAGATAATCATCCTATAGCTAGATCGAGCTCCAATCGAACCCTACTAGGGATCAAATCAGCAGCTCTGAATGAATCTTAATCGGGTTCGACCCGCCCTAGTAGGGCCCACGCCAACTCCAAAAAACCCTACTAAAGCTCGATCGTCGTCGTGCGCCGGCGCCGGCGCTCGCTGTAGTCGTTTCCCAACGGGAGGGGAGGAGGCGTGGGGCCAGTTCGAGTCCGCCCCCCCCCTCTGCACTTCATGGGGGCGATGGGGTGCGTTGGTTCGACCGCCCCCCCTTCTGAGGGGGCAAGGGGAGGCCGGGTTCGACCCCGTCACCCCGCGGGCACCGCGCTGCTTTGCAGTCCGTCGGCGGGTCTCTGCCGCGTCGGCGGCGGGAAACCGCAGAAAAAAAAACTCTGAACTCGCTGATGTTCGGGGGCGGAAGCTGCGCTTTGAACCCATGCTGTTGAACGCGTGGCCGAGAGAACCATCAACTCGCAAAACTAAATCTCCTCGACGCTCCCCCGAAACAAGCATGCATCCCGCTGCAACTGCCGCGCCTGCAAGCGCGCCGCGACGGGATCCCCCCCGCCCGCGAGAACCCTGCCGTCGACGGCCGCCACTCGCGCCGTGACCGCGTAGAACTTGCCGCGAAGCACGTTGGCCTCCACGAGTTCCCGGCGCCACCTCAACCCACTTAGTCAGGGCCCCAGCCGCGCTAGATACTAGACGCTAGAAATTCCCTCCCAAACTTCTCTAGGGCGTCGCAACTGAAAGTGAAAATGCGCGCCCAAGGCCAAGGGCGCCCCCCTTCCAGGATGGCCCTGCGCGCCTGCTGCGAAGCTTTCAACCCCATGGGGAACGCGAGGTAACCGAGAAAACGCCGCTGACCACGGGCCCCATTTGACGAGGTTGAATTCGTCTCAGCGGTGCACTGAACTACCGAACGCCGCCCATCGCAAGGGGCCCTGAGGCGAATCGCATGCTGCCTCTTGCCCAGCTCGGGCATCGGTGGGAAGTTAGTAGAGGGAGCGTGCACCCCAGAGATGGCGCGCGCGATGCTTGGGCGCACTGGCGAACCCGGCACATCCTGCCTGCGATCGGAGAAATTGGCGAGACAGAACGTGAGCTCCACGCCCAGCTACATCACAAACTTTCTCCTGCTTACTGATGTGACGCGACGCCCGCCCCCCCCGCCCCTTCCCGCCGCGCGCCGTTCTCCGCCGCGGACCCCGCGCCTAGTCGCCCCGGCGTCTCGCCCCTCCCGATCTCCAGGGCATCGCCGGCAAGGTCGCACTTGATTGAACTTGAACGCATGAAGAGCAAACCCCGCCCTGCGCGCGTAGGTTGACGACCTCAGAGCCCAACCTACAACGGTTGCCGAAGGTGGAGGCAGGCATGGGAGAAGGCAGCGACCCCTTTGCCCATGCGCCGCGGGCAGGCGGCGCCGCGCCTGCTTCCGGCACCCAGGCCTGGACAGAAGCAGCTCATGTAGATATAGGGGCGATCTGAACCGACTGCGCGCGCGCCCCCCGCCCCGAATCCCGCCCGCTCCGCGCAGGCCTCGGGCGCGCGGAAGACGACGGCGGGGCTCGGGACCAGAGGTGCGACGTCCACTGAACGCGTCATTGCGCCCCCTGCAACCTCCGGGCGAGGCCGCCCCGGCTAGGAGTAAGAGAGGGGCCGACCACGTCGCGCAGGGTACTTGGGGGAGTCAGCCCGCCCTGAGCGGGCCCACGGTGCGCCCCCTCAAAAAACGCTTCGGCACTCCAGGGCGACCCCTCTTCTCCACGGGCGACGAGGTCGGGGGGCAAGGGATGGGAGACGCGCAGACGGTGCCGCGTCGAAGAAACAAACGCGGGCGTTTTCACTGGCGCGCAGGTCATCCCGTACAAAAGAACTCAAATCGCGCGGGCGCGTAGCAACCCAGACTTGAAATTCCAGAGCATTGCGATCAGAGCTGCGACGTCAACCGAAGCTAGAAGAAGAGTCAGTCACGGTGCGCTCCAAGCCCAAGATCAAGATGGCAGTCGGATCAAAGTTGCCACGACAACTGTAGAGTGGCCCTGGGGCGCACAAATAAATAAACACAAGCAACAGGACTCCCCATGTTTTCAAATATGTTATGGATGTTGTCTCCCCCCCCCCACTTCCGACATGTTCCTATAGTTTCCTGGGGCTCCACGACTAATGGTGCGTGTGTTTCCCTCCTGAAGATGATCAGGGAAATGATGCTGCAACGTGATGTGCGAGGCGCGCCAGGTCCCCAAATTCTGCGATGGCCATCACTTTGGCATGTAGAAAACGGTATTCAAAGAAGGGCCATAGGAATCATGATGTGCACATGGCGTGCTCTGTGTTTCCGAAACCGCGTGAAAAAAAAAAAAAAAAAAAAAAAAAAAAAAAAAAAAAAAAAAAAAAAAAAAAAAAAAAAAAAAAAAAAAAAAAAAAAAAAAAAAAAAAAAAAAACAAAAAAAAAAAAAAAAAAAAAATGAAGTGTACGATCTGATAATGCTTGCGACGGGCGACCTGTCCCGGTGCGCCCATGCCCTCGATGTTGCCAAACATGTCATGTGTGAATGGCGGGCGGCCTGCCAGGGTGCGTTTATGCCCATGGTGCCACAAGGTAGGTAACGATATGCTGTCATGTGTAAGTCGAGAGAGATATGGCTCGAATGCCAAATGATACGTAACTCTATCATATCAACAACATATCAATAAACGAAACCATTGCTTGGTCACAGTACGCGGGATCCCAAATACGATTGCCGCGGTTACCATATTGCCCAATCGTGCGAGTAGCAACAGTATCAGGTCAAACAATTTGACAATCATTCTTATCGGTCTAGATACAATTGTTCAGATAGTACGACCAATAGCGGTATGTGTTGTCGCTGTAATGCTCGAGGTTGTAGCGCCACCGCGCCTCTGGGAACGCCCTGCGGGCGCCGCTCAAATTGCCGGTCATGCGCCGCGAGCTTTGCGGCAGGCGCGGCGGCGTGATCGGCCTCCGCGACCCAGCCGCGAGCGGCGCGGCAGCTGTTGCAGCCCCGCCACTCCAATCTGCGTCGCCAGGGGCGGGGCCGCCGGGAGACGCTGCGCTCGAGGAAGAGGCAGCGCCCATGGCAGGCCTATCGCGGCGCGGCGGTCAAGGAGCGGGTGATGGGGTAGGAGTGGGGGTTTGTGACCGGAACAATCCCCGCGTCGAAGGCTTTGCCCCTCGTAAATGG